AATTACGTATTTTTCGAGGCAGTATATTTAATCAGTTTTGTTGAGGGTGTCTTTAGATTATTTTTACATAGTTTTGATGTGTTTCATATGGTTATTTTATGTTTTAAGTTAAAATATTGTTTGTTTGAGCGTCAATAGTATGAGATTAGTGCTGCTGTAGTAGATCGCACAGTACTAAGTCACTCAGTCTCTGGGGCTTCTTCTACGGTGCACTTGGTGACCAAATTGATACCAGAAACAGTGCAGAATAATTCCCCAATACCTACCGTGTGTACCTAATTGGGTCAGATTCGAGCTAGATTGCTTAGGCCAAGATATTGAGTATCCCCACCGCAAAGTTTTCTATTTCTAGTTCTAGTAATGGTAGAAATACGAACATTTTTTTAGCAATATGAAAAATTAGATTATCTGAATCTTTCAATAGCGCAGTTTAAATGATTCAAACCTTATTTTTGACGCAATCTAGAAACCTAAGGATAAACCTAATTGCTGAATAGTCTCTATACAACCAACAGCTTGCAGTATAAGCTTGGACTGTTGGCATTATTCCAACACGCAATTCACAGCTTTCTGCTCTGCAATTATACTACAGCCAGAGCCCAACGGTTCATTAACATTTAACAGTTTGATTAAACTGTATTTATTAAATTGCCGGGGTCGCAGTTATTTTATTGATCTTACTGAGGCTCGAATTCGGCCGATGTGCAATATAGTTTTGAAATTGCCAGTCTCACAAACAGATTGCATGCACGATCTTTAAGTTATGTTAATTTTCAAGTGTAGGCATTATCTTAAAATCATTTAAATATCCATCTCCATTCAATCAATGTTATAAATGTAGACATGATATTTAACTAATATTAATATTCGTTACTAGTCAATTTCCGATCAATACAATAAATTATTATAAAAGTATATATTATCTAAAAATTATGTTAATATTCATTCATATTCGATCAGTATTGTTAGTGTAGTCTCATTCATTCCTAGTTTATAACTTTCAGATAAATATTATATTTATAAATATCAGCAATAATTTTACGATTACAATACAGTCATTGTAAAACATGCTTCAAGATGTGAGAGTACTCATGTCGAGAACGTTAGTTGCCGGCGTCAACATCCCTGTCAGTTACAGAGACAGCTTGGTTTATTCAAATCGATCACACTAAAGTACAATTAATCATATAATTAAGATTTAACCGCATTATTAAATGTGGCACATGTTCCCGATTTAGCCTACAAATTAGCCTTAATCATTTTATTTTTAGCCCAATCAACTATTAAATGGAATGTGCTTCACAATTAATCGTTTACGTTGGTTATTGGCACTAGCTGACTTGGAGCTGTTCTGAGAATTGTTTCCTGTTAATATTATAACTTTTTAATTAAATAGAGTGGTGATGCTTATAGATCGAGATCAAAGCCTAAATTTGAATGCTAGCAGACACATTTGATCGCATTTTGAACCTGGATTTCATGCTAAACTCCGAATATATCGTCACTGATACCAAACAAGTTTGACAAGCTTGCAGAGAGCTGATTGAGGGATGCTGCACAAACCGTCAATTTGTTTCGAAATCAGCCAGTCTAAAAATAGGAGCGGAGTGGGCGTAATGTGGGCGTCAATATGAAGTGGGATTGATCGAGTCTTCGTGAGACCTCGTCTAAGGCAATGCTATCAGCACTATAATCTTGTAATGTTTATTGCAGTAAGTTGATCGGGAAGGTTTTAGTTTTGAGCGTGCAGATTGATCGTTGGTTATTTGAATAATGGTTCAGCTTCAAATATTTGAACGTAAATAAGGATATATTTTAGAAATTTTTATATATTGAAGCAAAGGATACAAATTTTGGATGGTTAATAGGGCTATTAAAAAGCGACAAATCACATAGGAATACAACACAATCATGTGCAGTATATTTATATGAATATTGTTAGAAATGGTGAAGTTAATTTGACAATCCTATGCAGTTTTCTAGATTTCTACGATGGTAATTGAGTAATTGGTGGCTTAAACGACCTGCAAATTCATAAATTGCAGTTTTTAAGAATTGGTTATTTTTATATAGTTGGGTCCCGGTTAATGCTTGTAGGTAAGTTTAAGCTTGTAGCTCATATCAATATCCACTTCTAATTCAGCTTTGTGGCCTAGGTACTTGGTGCTTTGTATCCTAGGAGGCAATTCAATTTGAAATTGTAAGTTAGCACTATAGCTTTATTTATATACTGTTAAACAAATCTTTGTTTTGTAGCCAATCACTCGAAGAACACGCTTCAACAATATTTTCAACAGTTCTTTTGATTTTCTTATAATTGTATTGTTTTTTTCACTATGGAAGGGCAGAGAAATGCTTCTATTTTAATATTTCAGAAGCGTTTCAGGCTGTACCCCCCCCCCCCCCCCCCCCCCCGTTTCAGACTGGAGCCCCCACCCCTTAAGTTAAGACTCAGCAAATTATTCGGCTTAGTAATGTCTACATGGTCCACGGCTGTCGAATTTTGCATTACAAATTACTAATAATTATGTCAACTCACTAAGTCACTACACTAAATGTTCGAAGATATTTTTATAGCTTATTCTTTATTGATATATTTGATGCACTTCCTCTGGTTCCAGTTTACAAATCCCACCACTCAGATCATCTGCCTAATCGCAATGTTCAGTAGCCGTTATAGGTTACCAAATGATGGAGTAGTTCGCTGTTTGTAGACGTTAGGTTACGTTTAGATATCAGCGGGGTACCTTTTGAGACAGGTCGCATCACAGTACACACAGATCCAGCCTAGCTAGCAGTGGGCACAGACGGTTATAAAGTTACAAGTCACAACTGGTGCGTCAACCCCTGCAGTATTTATAGCGTACAGTTATTATATCTTCTTATCTATCCCCAGTTCTTATACAACTTATATTTTCTAATCCGTATTATTATGAAGCAGAAATATTGACGCTGTTAAATCGTGTCTGGCTGATAGCTTTAAGAAACTACAAGTTAACGGTCTATGTCTCAAAGCAATATCTAGGACCTAGGTAACGTATTTTGGCAGTATCTAAGGAGCCCGAGTTTGCTCAAACCCTAAAGTTGTCTACCCTATTGTTCGGTTTCTTCAAAACTGCTATAGTTATATAACATTATGTTCCATAAATATTTATGAATTTCATTGCGTATACTTTTATTATTTATAATGAGCTCTAACAATAGCTTCATCAATTATTTAATTACAGATTGACTCAAACATTCGTGTATCTTGGTATCTAAACATACTGGGTGGGCCATTATATTACATTGACCTCACGCCACCCTTGAATAACTCACGTAATTCTTGTCAGAATGGCACGAAAAATTCCGGAGTTAGACTTAGAGATATATTGATGAGTCCAACTTAGATTCCCAGAAAGTTTCGAAACATTTTACGAATTTTTTCTGTAGTTTCATAAATTAGGTGATAATAGAAGAAGGGTTTAATTCATAATTTATACATCCTTTTTACTTAGCGGTCTTATGCGGTGTCACGCTGTTTATTTTATTACGTTATACTCCTTGTATTTGACATATGCTTCTCAATGAGAAGCATATGTCAAATACAAGGAGTTCTCATTACGAGTCACTGCGAAGTGAGACAACGAAGTGAGCCAACTAAAACCTTTATGTGGGCGTACAATGATAATGTGCGGAGCCTGGGAGCCATTGTATCATTTCGTAGCAATTCTTATCAGCTTGATTAAGTTTAGTGTTGCTTGTTATGCTACAAACTATCGTATAATTAATTAACACGTTTCAAGCCTGCTTAGGAAAAGACGAACCGATCAGTATGCTTCTAATCAAAAAACATTTGTAAATAGGCATTCTGCCAGTTTTTATCGTAGTAAGTAAAACGTTTGTTTTTAAATAAAGTTATTTATCTCACAGAGTTCGACTTCAATCAATTCCGGGAAGCACACTTTTGCATATTTGTGGACCAAGAGTTAAGACGCTTTCAAAATAAAGTAGAAATTTACAGAAGAACAACCAAAGTCCCAAGTTTGTGGTTACAGAATCCATATATGAACAGTTATTGAGCTATTAATCACAGAAAATTTAAAGTTCAAGTAAACCTTTGATACAAAGTTTGTCACATCCAAAATTATTTATATTTTACCAATTTATGGGCTGTAAGTGTAATCAAACATAATTTGTGCGTATCCCCAAATATGGGCATAGTCACACGGTATTTTGCTTCTAACTCAGCCATTTTTGTCAAATTTAGATGAAACTTTTGATACGATATTTAAAACATTGGTTTTGGGTATTTTTATACCAGAAATATTCCAGATTTTCTTAGAAAGGGGAGTGGAAAAAAACCAATTAATTTTCTGTTAATCTGTTCGTCGTCGATGAATTCAATTCTTTAGTTTAGCGACAGCAAGATAATTTCACAGATCAGGTAATGAACAATCAACACATATAATTATAGCTACGGTAGAAAAACAACGCACCAAGTATAATGAACAAACCCAAGGAACGTGACGCGGGTTTATTACTCAGCTTTTTGATTTGTCATCTCTTAGTAATACCTAAATTAGCGGCCAACTTCCTCGACACGGCTAGCTTCCTCGCCCAGCAGTCACCTACCTATCAACAACTATACACAATCAATCTCTTTACGAATCCTATAATAACCTGTCGCCGTAGAGCGAGCAGTGGGCATTGTATTGTACGTTATGCGCTATATAACTATATATAAACTATATAAGGCTGTTCCTTCTCTCTATTTAAATCATATTGTTACGCTTCATTTGTAGTTTCTGATAGCGGGCCCCCCAATGTTATTAATATTATGTTTCTTTGATATCCCAGCAATCTGTACCCTTGACAGTGTGGATTGTTGGTATGTGCGTGGGGTTTAGAAATACTGTTTTTACTCTTTCGTTGATGGGAAGTTTGGCGGAAGTTGGTTATTGTGTTTGTTACCATGGTTACCATGGTTACCAAGGTTAATCTAAGTTGCACTCAGCTGATTATGAGTCCAAGAAAGGTGAAGTCAGAGGTCCCAAGATTGCCAGCTCACGATATTTACGATGAAGAGAACCGGCTCAAAAAGGTGGGCGGGTACATCATAGGAAAGAGCATAGGTGAAGGCAGCTTTGCTAAAGTGAAGGAGGGAATTCACATACTGACTAACATGCGGGTATGTATTCAGATTGTTCAGCACTTTTAGTTTTAGTTATAAATTCTGGGATTGAATATTCACTATTCAGATAACATGATGTTCATAATGTTTGTTATGATTCTTACATGACCCATCTCACTAACCTTATCGCCGATATAATATTGGTCAGACATCACGTGGTCCTAAAATTATGTCCGATCACGTGATGCCCAAATAAGGTCTGCTGAGGTATATTTTATTCGCCAACATTAAAAACAGTGCTAAGTATGGGATAATTTCAGGTGGCGGTGAAGGTAATTAACAAAACTGAGCTGAAGGAAACAGACTACATGATGAGGAATTTGCACAGGGAGGCAGATGTTCTGAGGAAAATACGCCACGAGAATATTGTTCAGTTGTATGAGGTAAGACTGCACATATTTTTGTGGTTATGTTTGTGAAAAAAGGTAGCTGGTACGATTTTCTAGCAACCAAATACCCACCGATATGTATGTTGTGGAAAATTCTTTGTGTGTTAAAACTTAAATTAAAGCACTGCAAATCCATGGAAGATTTATACGACTCCTTTGATAGAGTAAGCCGACGTTGATTGAATAGTTCCAAACTTACTTTGTAAATAAGTATGGTTCATTTGTCTTTGCGTAATACTAGTAGTAATACATAAATAAGGGGATGAATATAAGAATATACCAAGAAATCTATAACAGTGTATAACAGTGTATAACAGTGTATAACAGTGTATAACAGTGTATAACAGTGTATAACACTAGCTAATTCTCTAACATAGTTCCAGAGAGCTCAGTGTAAGGTGTTAATGAGATACAATTCATTCTGTAGATTGAAGTTTTGAAGCAATTAATGTAACTAACTCGAGGCAAGCCTTCCAAAAATAAACAAAATATACATCTACCTTTTATGTTTTCGATGGACAGGGTGTTTCAAGGTCTTTTGTAAAGATTTGCATTTTGAATGACTTTATTATATTATAATTTATACATTATTATATTTACATAATATGTCTGAACTTGATCCTGTACATCTCTAGGTTTGGTAAAATTAATGTAGATATGTAGATATTTTTTACTTCGGCAATGTACATCTCTATGCTTGGTAAATATATTGTACAAATATGTTAACCTCAAGGTGATGGAGACAGAGAACCACTACTATCTAGTACTGGAGATGGTGAGAGGAGGTGACCTGATGACACACATCTGCAACAACAAGCGCCTCTCCGAGCAGGAGGCCCAGAAGTACACCCGCCAGATTATCTCTGCAGTGGAGTATCTCCATAGTATGGGAATTGTGCACAGGTAATGGGACCCTGTTTGTGGATTTTTGGTGATTTGAATCACAAGTGGTTTCCCGGATCTTAAGCATGATATTATGAAGTGAACTAATCAGAGCTTGCATTGGATGAAAATCTAGTGTTTGCCACTACGAAAAAAACAGGCGCAATTCTTGTTAGTACTGCAGCCTACTTGGCTCGCTTCATAGGTAGAATTAGTATCACACAAGACATTGACGTGGTTTATTAGTTTATTGATGCATTATTCTCAGGGATCTAAAAGTGGAAAACCTTTTACTGGATCAACACAAAAACATCAAAATAATAGGTTCGTTATCGATACTTGAATTATGAAAACATAGAAATGAAAACAAGTTTTTCAATATTTTAAAATTCAATTTAACCATACCCCATGTATCAAAATCATTAAAAGATTAAAACCACCACAGATTTTGGACTGAGTAACAGCCTTGGCAAGAACGGACTTCTTGGTACCCAGTGTGGATCCCCGGCCTACGCAGCTCCTGAGGTCTTCAGTAAAAATCCTTACGGACCATCAGTTGACATTTGGAGCATGTACGTTCTTACGGCATTATATTTCTTTTAAAGTTTACAATCAGTTCGTGTTTATAACAGTTTACGTGTATTGTACCAGGTAAATATCTCATGTTAACTGTGTGCGTTGTAACGTTATAAATTTGCCAAACTATGTAGTTATATTACGTGGGTCGCGCTTGAAGGGTGATAAATATCTTATATCACTAATAGTTGTTAATATTAGTTATAGACACGATAATTATAATAGGCATACCATGAAGGACACTTATGTGGCATTTCTGCATCTTACAAGGGTGGTAACTCCGTTTCAACTCCGTTTTTGCTTTATATGCGCTTCCACAGTACTACTATTAGTAGTAGGTAGTAATTCTTATATCTGTTGAGAGCAGACCCAGCACAAGTTTTAAAGTCTACAATCTTATGCCAGCTTGACAGACGAAGCTGATTAAGATCTTCTGATCATTTCTTGGAAGTTCACTAACTTCCAAGAAATGAACGAACATATTCGTGGAAATATGAAATGAACCATAATGATATTCAACGGACGGTTATTAAACGCTTTATTGCACTGTCTCGTCGGTAAGACTGTAAGCTAGGTCGTGGGACAGGTTTTAGAACAGTTTTATATGTCAATATATCACACAAGCTTTGCCTGCACGTTTATATTTGGTAAATACTAATGGGGCAGAACGAATCAATATTTATGAATTTATGAGTCATCATGACTAATGAACATTAACTCATTAACATACTGCACCCCAAAAAGTAGTCCACATATTGCAGGCAATTATAAAATTCACCGTTTGCACAACGAACACCTAAATTCTTATTCTGTCAACATGCGGTAAAACTAACAGATTGCCATAACATGTCCTAGTGTAACAGATGATCTGTAATTCATCCAGGTGATAGAGAAATAGGTGGTCATTTAGACGTACGTGCATCTCATTAGGTACATTAAAACAGGTGTCATGTATCAGGCTCCGAGCGTACTAAATCACTCTACAGTCGATCTTCGAGATTGTTCTAAAAGGGCCCCCGACAGTTGAAACCAACTTCAATCGATGTATTTTTGGACGCTGATTCCGAATCACCCCCATGACATAGGGTTAAAATGCTCCCCTGACGAGATATAGGCGAAAAACTGTCTCGATCACGTGACAGTCGAGTGTAGACTGTAGAGTGATTAATTATCATCCATCAGGCTCGCTACAACAAATCATTTTCTGACATATGCACTTTCAGAGGTATAAACCTGTACGCCATGTTAACCGGACAGCTGCCCTTCCACGTGGAACCCATAAACATTGCTGCTCTACACGAGAAGATCATGAAGGGGGCAAAGATTCCCAGCCACTTTAGTAAAGGTTTGGCAGTTTAATCTTAAACTAGGCTCGAAGCTATTTTCGTATTTTGGTAAAATGTAGTTAAACAAGATTCCAAATAATTACAGTAAGGGTTGGTCAGATTGCTAGGTATTTTAAACTGCGTTCGCAGACATCGCAATGAAGGTTGTTCCCAGCAATTTTAGTAAAGGGTAAGTTTGCAAGTTTTTAGCCAGATGGTGGGAATATTTTGCATATGGTCCGGAACCGTTGGAAGTTTACTAGTTTATTCACACAGAATGCCAAGACTTACTGTCTAAGCTGTTGGTAGCTAAGGAAGAGGAAAGGATCGGGATGCACACATTGATGAAACATGCATGGGTCAACGATAACTGTCCAATGTTGGAACCATTCAAGAAGAAAGCTGAAAACTTTAATGAAATGGATCTGGACTCTGTAGCTTTGGAGGTTGGTTTGATATTTACAACAGTTGAAGTTTAACACAAGTTCCAATCTTAGCCCTTAGCTACCTATAAATAAAACAATGAGCTAGATGGACAGATGCCAAGTTTGAGTTGTCATTAACACATTAAATAGTCATTAGTTTCAAGTTATTATTTTATCGTAAACATGACACACAATTAATCACAACTCAACCCAGACTCTGGTGAACATGGGGATCGATTACAACGACACTATCAACTCATTAAGGGGCAAAAAACCGACAAAGTATGCCGCAACATACTGCCTTCTTGTTGAAAAACTAACCACCCCAAGAAAGAGTTCCCTGCCTTCGATAATGGACTCTAGAAGAAGATCAGTCGATCCGACGGCCCTTCAGAAGGCTGCCGAAAAGAACAGGTTTGAAATTGTGATAGTCACTTTACCATAGTTGTTTATTAAACAACTAAACCTGATACATTGAGTAATCACACATTACTTATCGCAATCATTCTCACTTTATCTTGATCTCAGGAACATGTTATCGCCTTTGAATAAGAGGAAGATGAAGAAATCACCTCATTTGATGCTGCCAGTATCTGATGAGGGAATTGATCCACCCAAATCAGCAGAAAACTCATCCAATATGGTACGTGTATAATAATAACATATGGCCCAGTAAGCTTGCTGTCAATTCAAGGCTTTTCATTATAAAGGAGCACGCATCAATTTCGATTTATGACAGACAGTCAATCCAGTTCGATCAAGTATTGACAAGGGATTTAAAATAAATGTCACTACATATATGACATAAATACGGGCTATAATAAACAATTACCACCTATTCGCAGATTGATAAAGATCCAATAAACAATTACTACAACGTAAAGCAGCGAAGACCTAGTATGGGAGAAACAATCCACAACTTCCTAAAGGACAAGCTGCAAAAATCATCTAATGGAGATGAAAAGAAAACCGAAACGAGTAATGTCAAAAAGTCTGGCGACAGAAAGAGCTCAATAACAGATTTTTTGAAAAGTCCACTGGAAATGGGAAGAACGAGAGGGAACCGGAGACACAGTGTGGCAACCACCCTGACACCAGCCTCTCCAGGGCTGGGTGGCTCTAAGGACAAGTCCTCGAGCACCGGCATGGGTCTTTTCTCCCCTAAAACCAAAAACAAGAGATTCTTCCAGCCAGAGAACACTAACAAAGTGACGTGTAACGGGTAATGATGAGAGGAGCGTTGACAATCACTGACGATTTATCCCACATCTAGTAGCGGAGTGTTTAACCCTGGTAATGACTGAAATTTCACCATGAAATCTAATGCGATCACATCGAGGCGGGACAAATAGCAATATAGGAGCAACGCCTACTAATTGATTTTTAGTTTTTTAAATTTTCAGTGTTCTATTAATATTATGTGATATCCTCATGAATATTTATCCCAGACTTATAACTGACCCAATTGCAGGACAGTTCAAAAAGAACTGTGAATTTTTGACGAATGTTCACAATGAACGAATTTATCGCCATCTGTGTTTCGTGTTTTTGATTGTTATAATGTTGTTGATTCCCGTTTCAAATGTAAAAACTATTTTAACGATGTAAAAATGTTGTTGTGATATGCAATAAGTATAAAGAACTGAAATTAAAATCGAATTAATCAAAACATCACCACAAAAATTCAAACGATGCCTTAAGAAAAGGATATTTTTGAGTGAAGGTACGGTTTGTCATCAAAGTAAAACTTGCTGTGGATTACCCCAGCCCCATACTCCTCATACTGATCCCTACTTAGCAAACTGCTCCCAAACTGGACAGAACCAGCAAGACAGGATCCCCCTGTCCACGTCATGGTGTCCGCGTTCTCTGCAATAGCAATGTTTATCTGAACACTATCAGGAGCTAGATTAGACAGATCTTGTTCTATCCGTTCTGGTAGCCCAGTCATAGTGCTAGTCCCACCTACCAGGACGATGCTTTGGTAAAGAGCTCGTCTCGTCTCAATCGGGCACCTCATTATCGTGTTGTAAATCAACTGCGACAATCCCACAGCTGAGGAGCCGATGACGCTGGGATCGAAGAGAACTTCAGGGGCCCTGAAGCACTCTTCATCAAGGAGGAGCTCCGAGCCGTCGGGGAGCTGGAAGGTCTCCACAACCGTGTCAACCTCGTACGATCGACGTTTCCCCTTGCAGTCAAGTGCCACATGACAACAGGCTTCCTTCACTTCCCGCACCAGCTCCAGGTCGTTGAGAGTGTCGGAGAGCAGTCTCCGGGAGAGGGTGGCTCTCTTGGTACTGACAAGAGTCTCTGTAAGCAGCTCTCCTAGCTTCTCGTCCACTGTCCGCCCTGATAAACTTGTTCTGCATGCCTGCAAAACATCAGTGTTATTAAAACAGCACTTGTTTGTTTGTTTGTTTATAGAACCCGTCCCCCATTCCCGTATCGAAAAATGTTCCAACTCAATTCTGGGCGTAAATACAAAACAGTACTATTATGTAATCTACATTTTACCAATAAAAGGTGGAGGGTATCTACGTTAGATTAACTAACCTGATGTATGAGCACAAAGCCTTCGTGTACAGGCGTTATCTCCGTAATGTCATGTCCGATATCCACAATTAGAGCAGTTTCTCGGTTGACCTCATTGCTGCAAGTGGAAACGGTAATCGATTTATAGATGAACCATTACGTAGTTTATAAAAATACATAGGTTAAGTCAAACTCCTGGTATATATGTAAGTGTCAGACAGCAGACTTGGTAATCGTACTGTAGTGCGACACGTACTGTAGTGCGAAACCTGAAGTTCGACAAGACCCCCCCCCCCCTCTTTCGCACTTGAGTTCGTGTCGCACTACAGTCCAGGTAGCGTACTGTAGTACTAGTGCGACATCAGATCTTGTCATTTCCAAGCTCTGGTCAGATATTATCCTTCTAATGGTATGCGAATCGCAGACTTGAACTTTCATGCGATCAATTGTAACATCTGTACGTGAGGACATAATATGCAGTTTGTTGGGTTTCAAAATTAAAATGCAGGTTATATTACATTAGCAGTTCAGATGGTATTATTAGATATATATAAGAGGTATGAAAGTGCAACATATTGATTATTGATGGAACAATGGACTACACATTATACAAGTTCATTAATTCCGCTGCATAAATTCAACCCGTACTCACTCAAACATTGGGAGAAGACTTTGGAAGGCCACGAAGTAGCCCTGAATATCAAACTGTTCGAACATCATCTCACATATCCGCTCCCTCTGCTTCCTTGGACTGAAGTATTTTATTGAATATTTTAAATATTTGATCGAATATTTTAAATATTTGATCGAATATTTTAAATATTTATAGCGATTAAACCACTGATAGATCCAAAGTTATCTTTCGCGCTGTTTTTAAGTAAATTGATCGAATTCTGGCTTTTGGAATCGGTGGAACAGAAACAAAATGTATTAGTTGTAAAAACACATTACTCCCTAGAATTGCTTGATTAAAGAGAGTCTAGCGGGCTATTATATTTAATTGAGAGGATAGTACCTCGGTGTGAAAGATAAATTATTATATTGTTCACTATAATGCTATAGTTAATAAACTGCCTAATAACCAGTTGGGCAGACATCACATCTTAGCGACAAAACTACTATATATAGTAATTTAGATGCCGCTAAGATGTTATTTAACAATAGTAATTTATAAAATATGTATATACATATTACTGTTGTTAAATTACTATTTATAGCAATATATGCATTATAACCATATAGCTATTATAAATATACAGGTTATAACCATAAAGCTACAGAACTCAAAATTACAAAAGGTGCAAACATCGTCACATTTAACTATTTGATCACCGATATAATATGCTTATATGGTAAATATTCTGGGTTTCTAAGTTTCTAGACAGGATGAACGCCGCATAAATTAATTAATTTAGCTACTTAACTTATTTGACTTTCTACTTTCCTAGCACTTTAATCAAACTACTTAACTGCAGTTTACAGTTTTATTTATTCAAATTATAAGGCACCTGTATTTTTAACGGACCTCATACCTGAACATTTTATCAGCATATAGAACAGATGACTCAGCAGGATTTGCTCTCAGCTCGTTCATGAACGCACATTGCAATATCTGAGAGATAAACAACGTCTCACAACGGTTTATATTCAATGTATTTTATATCATAATATTATGGATTATTCACGTTATCAAGTTATTAAAATACTTAACTTCTAAATCATAATACCAAGAAATATCAGATATACCAAGAAATATCAGATATACCAAGAAATATCAGATATACTAAGATATGCCATAGTGATAGATTATACCATTCATTACCATAGATGCGACAAACCTCTTCAAAAGCATCCCAGTCGTTGACAATGCCATCCCGGATAGGTCTAGTCAACTTGAGAGAGCCCCGGATCTTTCTAGCCTCGTCCCCCACAAAGTAACTCTTACATCCCATCACGGGGATATCAGGATTGATGGGCACACCCACTAAGGTCGGGACTACAGCTTGGGGCTCCGGGTCCTCTGTATCTGGATATAGTTTGAAATTATTGCAAGTAATATTTAGACAACTTGAAGCCCCATATCATCATATTCATTTCCATCAATAGCACAAAAATCGAGAATGAAGATATGCTTATACATATAATTATATGTTATACATATAATATATGTTCAATATATTTATTGATGTAGGTTACATGAGAAGATAATTGCTTCCTCGTTATATTTAAAAAGGTAACCACGTCTGTCCAAACATCTGACAGCTGTGAGCTGGGAGGTAACTAATCGCGGGGGCGGGTAAATCTTCTTAATATTAAAGGTCGCTATGATTTGGTCGTGACGTTGAACTCTCAGTCTCTCAAAGTTGCGAGGAGGTTATTTAAACGTGGAAGAACAACACCCAACTGAAAATTAATTAACTAATCGTGGACACGTTTGCATATTGCTTAAATCCAGGAGAGTGGTACCAAGGAATCCGCTATTGAGGACATTCTACCAAACTTATTTTATTCGTACATCGAATAAAATCAGCCAAGTTTCAGGGAAAATAAAAAGCAATAACTGTCACCAACTTGTAACCAGCGTTGGAGCAATAGATCCGATGTTAACATTAATCAATATTATAGCAGAGTATTAGAACAAGACTGATTAAATAAATAACATTCCAATTTGTACCTATATCTGCTGATTAAATAAATAACATTCCAATTTGTACCTATATCTGCGTAGCCTACTTTAGTTGAACAGGCCCCCACATCTAGTATTATCGTCTGTAAGGTCTCCGAGAAAGATGACATCATAAGTGTCAACAAAAGCTTCAGGTAAAGTTTTAGATACTGATTAAATAGTTGAGGACAATAATAAAGCCTGTTTTAACTTGTTTGTCAGTTGTATTACACTGTTGCTACCTTACCAAGTTACGAGACTTTATTGAACGGACATTAGCGTTAATTTTGATGTTTGTGTTCAAAATTATGTCCGGTCACGCAATGTCCGGTCGAATAACGTCCGATAAGGTATATAAAAAACGTAAGCCAGCAAGAAAACGGCGGGTAGACTAGCACTTAGACTTGATAAATTACTAAGACAGCACGCATCAATACAAATGAGTAACTCTTAGTCTCATGGCATATTTGACTAAATATTTGTATTACAGCCAACTGCAGTTATGCCGCGGGTTTGTTTATTTTAGAGTTTGAATATGTCACTTCAGCCTCGATGAAACCGCGTGGTTGTACAATGTACAATGTATGTCCTATTTGACGATTGAAATTAGCAAATTCTGGAAATCCTGCAAGTCGTAATACTAATAGCAATATCAATATATGAATATGCAAGTATAAACAAATTTCTAATTCGACAGCTTTAGGTTAATGAAGTGTAATGATTGGACGATTGTTTATTAGCCGCATATTACATGTTGAAAGTTAAATATTTCTTGCTCATTATAGCCTACTTTTACTAGTTAGATGTTGAAGCTGGTGTGACAGAGAAATGATTAACTAATTTTATTCTTCCATTGTTTCCGGTGTATAATTTCTTTCAACAAAACAGTTATTATAGAATAAATATTTAAATACCATCATCTTACTTCAAGGTAATGAAATACATGTGGCAGATGTTCCCGGATAAGTTGGATCAAAAACCCTTTTTTGGGTGGTTTTTAGCCAAGGATCAATGGTTGAGCTTGTAGGTGTGTGATGGAAAACAGAACTGCCCGACAACGAGAGCAAGGAAAGGTGCGGAGACAAGTTCCTTGTCGGAGTACATTCAAATATCGGGTACAGCTGCTTCTCAGTCTATCTGTTCCGTGTTGACGACACTTCACTGATTTCTGACGTATTTCTGAGCAAACTGCAATTGGTGATTTTTTATGGGACCACTTCACTTGTGATGCGATGACCATTTGTTAAAATATGATCTCTGATCAGAGAGAATCAACTGATTTGTATATAAACTTCAATACTTTTCACCATTCAAAATTTGAATTACAACGTTCGAACGTTTGTTACGAACCCTTGCTCTGTTTTGCTGACTCTCTTCGACAGCGTAGAAAATATAAAAATCGTATA